CTGTCTCTTCAAGACCTCCAAGCTTTGTGGAAAAGCAGTACTAAATTGCTGGCGTAACTGAACTTTGACACCCAGAAATCCTGCACACAGCAGATTCATGCTCCAGGTTTACCATGCTGGTTGGTCTGTGATGGTTTTTTACAACACAGCCAGTGTTCAGCTTTGCTGTGTAGGAGTATGCCTTTCACTTTAAACTCATCGCCAAAGGCAAGAAAGGGACCAACACCAGAACTGTATTTATTAGTGAATCTGATGAGTGTATTTTTATTTGCAGCTCGAGGCAAAATACCTTTTTTCCAACTTGATGTCAATAACAGGGCAAAAGGAAATGCCTCCTCCTTTTTTCCCCCCGTCCTTCCTCTGTCTCTCCTGCTGGTGTTGTAGAGGTCAACTGTATGCACAGGTAGATTTTCCAGATGCAGCGCTCTCGTTTACCTTTATATTCTCACACTGCTGTGTGTTTGCTGCTAGACCTCCGCTGCCCCACTTGCTGCTGGGGCCTCTCCTGAGCGGGGAGCGGAGCCAAGAAACTGTCTGGCCACCCAGTGTAAACTATGTGTTTACAGCAAGGCCAGGGTCACACTGGGCATGCTCAGCTCAGTACGTCTCACCTGCTGCAAGTGATAAAGGATCTGATGGCGCCGTTGTCACGCAGCTCTAGTGGCGCCGCCAAATCCTACTTAAAAAATACTTTCTTTCTGCTGCCCTTACAGAGCAGCATTTGGCAGTTCTACTATGCCTTTCTGAAGAAATGCTTTTTCTGGCAGCTTGGTGCAAGATATCTATTTATCATTCAGCATAAATCCACTGTGGACTACTAAATATTTTAAAGGTTAAGCTCAACCAGGCAGTGTACAGTGAAAGGGACGAATGGCTCCTCTCAACCAACATCTCTGCCCTCCCCTCTGTTTTCTCCGAGCTCAGTGCATACTGTGTACTCAAACATTTATAGACTTTATTATGTGGTCATACATTTATGTATGTTTCCTCTGCCTTACGTTGACGGCACAGCTTCCTCGAGACAACATGTCCCTAATGGTTTGCTTGATCAAAACACGCTCAGATTTGCCCGAACACAGGTGCTGCTGTTAGAGGATTCAAACATAATGTTACATAACGCGTAACAGCTGCATATTTGTTAGCTCAAAGAACACTGAGAGACATCTACTGTAGTTTGTCCTCTACACTGTCCCTGGTTATTCTCCCCATTAAACTGCCTTTGTCACAGTTTATCTCTTCTCCTTTCTTTACTTCTTCCTCTCTCCCGGTCAGGGGGGGTGGGGGGTGGGGGCATCATGCCATGCTCTAAATAACTTTATTGACATTTGAATTGGATGTGGATCATGGTAATTATCCAGCCTTCCTGCTTCCTGGCTGGCATTCAGTGAGAGGAGAGCATCAGTGCAGCCACATCTCAAGCCGGGCCACAGGCAGAGAAATTAGTCTCAAATGCAAACACATGCTTGTATACACATGCCGCTCACTCATATTAGCATTCACAAACCCATTGAAAAGCAGTGACACAAAACATGTGCACCTCGTCGAGTTGTGGTTTTCTTTGGTGCACATTGGAGCTTACGAGCAGAAGCATGAATAAAGCAGCTTATTGTGGTGTCGACCCCTATAGAGACAGCAATGTAGTGGGACTGTGTGAAGTATGCTTGTGGATTTCTTTAAGGCTGAATGACCATGAATCACTGCACTAGACTGTTTGCTTATGCTTATACTCCAGGAAATATCCACGACTGCTATACTGTCAGCACGGTCATAGAACTACTAGTTAGAACTCCACTACCAGACATTTTGTCAGTGCTACTTGTACGCAACTGCAAGTTTTCATCTTGTGAATATATTATCTTTATTTTACGATACAATATGTCAGTCAGTGCTGGAAATCTTGATCAGATGCCAAGGGAGGGTTTACATAAGAATATACTTACCTTACTTGTTTTTGATGCTATGCCATATTGATATAAAAACACAGTATCCCCCAAGTTCTGATTTTCAGGGACTAAAAATGTCTCAGGGAATCTGTTCATAAATAAAATACATTCATTACATATATTTATTCGTATTCTTGAGAAGATCGATACCACTCTTGTATCAGTCCGTTAAAGCTGAAGCTACAGCCCGCAGTCAGCTTAGCATAAAGAGTGGAAACAAGGTTAGCATGGCAAACAAAACTGCATTTTAAAGTGGTCTATTTTTGTTTATTTAATGTAATGCACTTATGCTAACATGTTCACTGAAAAAAAAAAATTGTATATTAATTATCATGCTTTTTATGATAGTAAAATAAACAAACAAGATAGAACATAACATTAAACATAAAAATTCACTAATAGACATACATACATGACATAACATTTTTATTAATGATCTTTAGATGGTAGGCACATTTGTTCCCTTTGGACAGTCAGGCTAGCTGTTTCCCCTTTTTTACAGTCTTTATGCTAAGCTAAGCTAATTGCCTACTGATGGTTTCTTCTTAAAGGCATACAGGCATGAGAGTGGTATCAATCTTCTCCTCTCACTCTGTCGACCAGTTTCTTCAAAGTTGCCATCGACCAGTCAACTGGACAAAAAAAGAACAGATCAATATTTCTCAATCAAGAGTGGAGAGCTTCTTAAACAGGCTGTTTTTAGCCTCTCATGCCCTTCCACCAAATGATTTCAGTGGATATCAGTTTTAAGCCTTCCACTTCACACTCACTTCACTTCCATATCACAAGTTTATCCCAAACTTTATTTATTATAGTCTTTGAAAACCATCACTGATTTATTCACCCAGGACTAATTTTCCTGACATCTGGCAAGAAATAAATCCAGGGCCTGACTTAGCACAACTGTCCCCATCGATAAAACACTTGTAGCCACCTCATATGCTCGACTGAATGATATTGTCCTGTTGCGGGGCTGAGCAGCACTGGTGTAAATAGGCACTGCACTCTTGCTTTCAAAGTCAGTATCATTTTTCCTTGATGTAGAGCGAGAGCTGTGTCCCTGAAGCAAGGCTATCCAGAAGAAGCGAGCGATACAATCAACAGACGGCACTCTGCCTTTACTGGCAGAGAAGTGAGAGATGAGCAGGAGAGAGGAGAAGAGAGTGAGGACACTGGGAATGTAAAGAGGAGGAATAGGCTACCATGACAGACTGCATATGTTAAATTTTGATGCTGATCTTAGCAGACTGCTGTGAAAAAGGGAGCTAAATACTTTTCTAATAAGCTCATGACAGTGTTCAGAGCTATTTTAACACAAAACGTACCACATAATGATTTTCTGTTTACTTTGGTCAAACTCAGCCACCCATCTGCATGTAGCAGCCTGTCAAACGCTTGCAGGGAGATAGAGGATGGAGAGAGATGAGAGCGAGACAGAACGAGAGCGATAAAGAGAGGAGGAAATAGAGGAATTTTTAGTGGATGACTGTGTTTCTGGGCTCCATGTTGGGTTAGTTAATGACTGGTGCATATGTCAGCCACGCAGCTGTGGAGTTACAATCAGCCAGCCAGCTGAGGAAGGGAGCGATGGATGGAAACGGAGAGCGAGAGAGAGGCAGACAGATATAAAGTATTAAGCCGTTGGACGCGGAGGGGAAAAAAGCAGAGAAAACAGTTCTGCGCGAGGGAGAGTGGAGAAGCAGAGGAGGTGAGATAGAGGATTTTGAGCGAAATAAACAGAGAGAGGCATCCGGAGGGAATAGAGAGAGAAGGAGAGAAAGAGAAGTTGCCAAGATAGTTTCCATTCTTCTCATCCTCCCTCAGCTAGCTGAAGCAGAAATGGCAGAGGCTGCAGTCCAAATCATTACACTCAGCTGCCTTCCTGGAAAGTATTTACTGTTGTCAATAAAGAAGCAAAGAGAAGGCACCATGCATAAAAGGAAATAATAACTCAAATATGCAGCTCCTCTGTAGAAAGATTCCAATTTGATGATGGGCCGCACTGCTGTCCTCAAAGACATTAACATATTTTCAATACCCAGCAGCTTCTCTGGGAGTCTTTTCACCTCCACTTCCTTTGACTTCGCCTTTTTTTACCCCGGCCGTCCTGTCTGTCCTGCCCCATCCTGGCCCGTGTTCCATCAGCTCTGGGATTTAAGCCTTTAAGAGCCTCTTTTCCCTCCAGTAAGAGCTTTAAGGCAGAATGTGTGTGGAAAGCACTTTTTTGGGGAAGGATCAAAGCTGGACAGAAATAGGTACAGATCGAGAACAGGAGTGGATGCTTCAGGAGGAAGTCTCTGACCTTCAATTGTCCCCCGTTTCTTGTTGCCCCACAAAACACCCACAGTAGCTCTGTCGAGGGCTTTCTTGTGAGGCAAGGACAGTAGTTTATTGTGCCTTGGTTATTGCTCACAAATGCTGTTCACAGTCTTGGGTACACAGGTGTGAAGCCAAAGTGTTTTTTATCACTGAATGGGCACCTCTGGAGTGAGACATCTTTGGAAATGTCAAGTTGTGTTGAAGATGTCTGAATAACAAGCAGATTGACTTGAATCCCAGATACCAATATCAATGCACAGTACACTCAAGAAATACTGTAAACTTCTGTTAGTGTGCCGTCTTGTTTTGTAAACTCCATACCAAAATTTTTTATGCAAGTTTATGATGAAACAATTGGAGATCAATTGACAGAAAGCAAAACAAAATAATATTAAATTATTGGTCAAGCAAAAGTAGAAACATTGACTCTTTCCAACTTCTTAAAGTGAACCCTTTCTGGGTTTCTTACTCTTTTATGAAAGTAAATCGAATATCTTTGGCTTTTTCCCAACAAACAAATTATTACAGGACCTCTGGGATCTTGTGATAGGTGTTTTTTTCTTTTTGCTCTGGACATTCAGATCAAACCATGAATTGAGAAAATAATAGCTCCAGTTTTTTAATATGCTGCATTTTCAGGTTAACACTGAGCCCTTTGCATATTGCTGGCTGTCAAAACCTTGGCTTTGCATGTCAGTTATACCTGACCTCTAATCATTTTTCCTTGTGTCTCTGCAGGCAGACCCGGGAGCAAGAGACCCCACCAGACTTCTTCTATTTCTCAGATTTTGAAAGACACAACGCCGAGATCGCTGCCTTTCATCTGGACAAGTAGGTCGACATAAGCCAGTCTCAGGGGTGTGTGCTTGTGTATGTGGTTCATGTGTTCTTTGGGTTCCACCCTGTAAAGCAGACTTCTCGCTACACAGGGGCATTTTTAAGCACAGGCAGGCTAGTTGAAGGGAAAGCAAAGAAGATATACAGATTTTTGTAATAATTTTAGATGCCTAATAACACCTTTTAAAGTGTGTGCAAGTAAAACCGCTGACTGAGCCACAAAACACAGAAACCAGAGATACCGACTATTTGTTCCACGCATTCTTCCTCCTTGTCGAAGCCAGGTGCTTACAGTACCCTCAGGGGTAGCAGTGGATGTCTGGTCCAAAAATGCCCCCTATGCTATGAAGATTTTCAACTAAAACTAGGAAAAACAGCTGATGCTGTTGAATCTGTCCTTCAAGCCCAAGTACTTCTTTCCATCCTCGAGGGCCACGTCCTGCAGGTTTTGGTCCTCCCTGATTGCTAATTTGCTTCTCCTCGTGTCAGCTCATTAACCACCTGGGAGGGAACAAAATCCTGCAGAATACCATACCTGAAGGGAAAGATCGGGACTCTTCTGTTTCACAGTAAAGCTTTAAGAGACGTGTTTGCAAGGTCCCCCCACATGTACAGCAATACAGCTCCATGTATGTCTATATCAGGCGTACACCTATTCGTACATTTACTTCTCCTTTTACTTTCTGATTCCCTCAGAAACTCGTCTTTGTCTGTGAGCGGTGTGATTCGGGTCCCGTACAGTAAAGCCTGTGAGCTCCGAGAGGCCATGAGTCATAGAGAATGAATGCCGCCCTCCCGCAGCTAGCATCTGACTGAACAATGACTGCAGCCTCCTTGCTCAGCTAACCACCACGCTCTCTGACTTCACCGCCTTTACAAGGTTAACACTTTATGGCCGGCTTGCTGGAGAGACTTTAATGAAACGAGAAAACCTCATGAGGTTCTCTGATGGACGAGAGAAAGCGATGAGTTTCAGCGGCAACGTTGCTGCTATTAAAGTCCAGCTGACGTCACTGTGGCTGTATGTTATTACGAGCAGGGGGATTGTGTTGTGCGAATGCTGGTGATACAAGATGATACTGAGGTCACACACACGTCCATTCACATACACACAATGCACACAAAAGGGGGGCCGTGGCGGGTAAGAGGGATGTTGAATCTGCTTTTCCTTCAGGCACAATGACACAGTTCAGCAGCAATTGCATTAGCAGCAGCTTTCTTCACCAGTCTGCTACACATCTGGTCCTCTGCACAGACACAGACACACACACATGAAAATACGCTCACACACTCTGTGCATATGTGTTGGTTAAGGGGAAGAGGAGGAAACCAAAGGCATGAAAGGCCCTGTGCCCATTCTAAATATAAGCCAGGCAGGCTTTGCCAAAAGCAGCACTTTATTTTTTTCCCTTATTTTGTCTGTTCTAAATTAGAGCCTGGCTACAGAGCTGCTGCTGCTGGTGCAGAGACTTAGGCTACACTGCCTCCCAGGGGGCCCACAGACACACACAGGCTCTTTTTAAAAGCAGCACACACGCACACACACACACACACACACACACACACACAGAGCCACATGTGTTTTCTTATATAGGCTACACTGCTATAAGCGTCATTAATTATGTGATTAGATTTAAATGGGATGTGCACTTGCTATTTCTGCATTAGGTGGAAAAGAGAGAGCAGATGAAAAGACATAGGAGCGATATGACCTTAAAATAATAAACCACATAGCTCTATATTCATGACCCCCGCTGGTATCCTATACATTTTTCTGCAGGGAATATGTGAAAGGATGATTCCCACCCTGTTGTTTGTGCACAGCTCGAAGCGGGTCCCTAAATCCCACCCTGAATATAACACAAGTTTAAAATGGCCAACGTGGGAATGAGGTTTATCAAAGGGAAGAGGATGGAGAGACAAACGTGTGAGCGATGAACAGATTTGAAGTCGGCTGTAGCTGTTCCCTTTTACCATGGCAGCAGGCCCGGGCCCAGCAGGCCAGACGGTGCTGCACGGTGCTTCATCCTGTGTCCGAGGAAAGAGACATGACTGTGTACGTCTGTCTCACTCCACCCGCCACCACGCTCCTTGATGGCATCATTTGTGCGACAGGCTCTTGATTAACAGCTCTCTCTCTCTCTCTTACTCCTACTACCAAATCCACAGATGTCTCTCTATCTCTCTCTCTTCCTGTGTCTCTCTGCCCCCAGGCCTCGGCCATTAGGTGTTGTCAGGGGTATCAATATTTAAAGAGCTTGTGCTGATGTTGTTGGTATTGACGTCAGGGGCTACACGTTCATAAAATAGGCATGTGACAGGCACACAGGGAGACGGCCACGCCATCTCTCAGTGAAAGACAGCTTTATTAAACCTTTCTCTCTTCATCTGACAGACATACACACAGACACTGGCGCTGGTTTCCTGGCACATGATGCAAAGACACAAAATCACAAGATGGAATAGAGATGTAGGTTCCCTATATCTTGGAGTATATTACATCGGTAGGCTGTGTGGAAGTTAAAAATGTGTTTGCTGTAGAATGATAGCCACATAAAAACCACACAGGGAGGTTTACCGCCATGTGGTATAACTGTCAATACTTATGCCACAGTGCCCCCTGCTGGTAGTAATGTTAAATTACATGGGTACAATGTACTTCATTGTCTGCCCCAGTGGCCTAATGGATAAGGCACTGGCCTCCTAAGCCAGGGATTGTGGGTTCGAGTCCCATCTGGGGTGGTGTTTCTTTTCTGCATTCATTTACAAACACCTTGTCTTTCGTGCTGCTTTCTGCAGACAGTTGTTCAGTACATATACAGTTATTTAGAAGAAAAAATAAACTCTCCATCACTCTCAAAAAAGGCAAAGCAACATTTTCAGGGTTATTGTCAGCCAGTAATTCAAAACAAGAGATGACTGTTTTTATAGCTACTGTAATTTAGTTTCACACCTACCATGATTTTGTTAGAAATGTGTACCTAAGGTTTGTCTCATTTTGAAACAAACCAGTAGTTTGGACACTTGAGCCCTGTTTTCTTATCCTATATTTATTTACATTTTTGTAAATTGGCACCATTAGAAGTATGCCAAAGCTTTTAGCTAACATTAAAATCCTTAAAAAGAAAATCCTTCTACCTTATTAAAAATTCCAGAATCTATGAATATGCAAATTTTGTTTATATTTTATTTTTGTTTATTGTTTTATTTCATCCTTTCTCAGTGTATGTGCACTGGTGGCTTCAAGTTTCTAAGTCACACATGTATAAGTTGCATACTGGACATACAGGATTGAGATTTATGGACATTTATTTTAGACAGACATTGGAGGTAGGAAAGTATAAATTACACTGAATCTCATCTGATCTAATCTAATCTTTGTCCTGTCTGTGTGTTCAGGTTTGACTGAATTATGACTCTGAAAAGGAGTGCGATTTTTGACCCAAATTGCGGCAATTAAAGTTAAAGTACATTAGTGGCTTCCTTGAGCTGTTTGTCACAGCCACTCCTGCAACTGCTGACCGCATTGGCTACAATCACTACATTCCCGTTGTCAGAACACATACGGCTTTACGTTTTATCCTCATGCAGTACCTTTGATTCATGCCCCCCCCTTCAGTTCTCCTCCACCCCCCTGGGGAGGCGTAAAAGTGTATTCTGAAGGCATGTAACCCCTATGTGTCTCTGTTCTGTAGGATCCTGGACTTTCGTCGTGTCCCTCCTGTGGCAGGCAGGCTTGTCAACATGACAAAGGAGATCCGAGATGTCACGCGGGACAAAAAGCTCTGGAGGACCTTCTTCATTTCACCAGGTACAGTTATTGCTTATTTCACCAGGTACAGTTATTGCTTTTTTGAGACATATCTAGAAGGAAAAAACTTTAACCAAGATACCATCAGATGGATTTTGCTACATTCACAGAATTAATAAAAATGCTGCACAAACTTACTTTTTAGTACTTGTTGTGTGAGCCCCAAAACTGTGGGACACGCTGTTATACAATTATTATTTAAGTTTATGTTGTTATCTCAGAAGCAAAAAAAATTGCCATCAGGGCAGTTTTTTCATGGTGTATTCCTTCCTCATAATATAGAGCAAAGCTAGTTCTGTGCCCTGAATCACTGGGATATTCATTTGCATGGGATTAGTATTATCAGGGGACTCTACCTTGTGCCAAAGCATGGCAGTTAATTAGCGATGCAACCTTTATTTTACATATTATACACATGGAAAATCTTTTCACTGGATTAAAATTACTGACAGTCTCAGCAATTAATGCAACTCACTGAATGTCCCCAGATCATTTTAATCTTTAAATATATGTGGTGTGTACTACTCCCATCCAAAAGGGAGTAACACAATAGATTATACCTTGCAGTCACTTTTTATATGTTAATAAAATGAAATAATAAAACGTCCACAACAATGTTCTACTTTCCCTATTCTCAGCCAACAACGTGTGTTTCTACGGAGAGTGTTCGTACTATTGCTCCACTGAGCATGCTCTGTGTGGTAAACCGGACCAGATAGAAGGATCCCTGGCTGCCTTCCTCCCGGACTTGGCCCTCGCCAAACGCAAGACCTGGAGGAACCCGTGGAGACGCTCCTACCACAAACGCAAGAAGGCAGAGTAAGAGATTGATCCTGCTCTCAGACAGTGTTGCATTCACTGTGGGGTCCTGTAGGTTCAGATATTAGACTGTGGTGTGTAAACCATGTGTCAAAGCTGACTGGCATCCAGACAGAATAAAATGAACTGTATAAATTGTGCCATGGAAGAAAACACTTCAAAATCATCCCAAAACCCTCTCAAGAATAAATTGGAACAAACATAAAGGGGGGGAGGATTTTTATGATATTTTTGCAGAGCAGATGCATAAATGAATTAAAGATGTTGTTTGTGTGATATTTGGAACTCCTCAGATGGGAGGTGGACCCAGACTACTGCGAGGAAGTCAAACAGACTCCACCTTATGACAGTGGGACACGACTTTTGGACATCATGGACATGACCGTCTTTGACTTTCTCATGGGTGAGTCTGACACAACACAAACATAAACAGGCTTTCTGCTTCTAAGGTGATGCTAATTCACCCAAACAAATGTCATCACCCAGGATTTCACTATCCTACCGTGGTCTAAGCACTGTTAGAGAAGTTAATAATGGGCAAAACATTGTTGTATGCATACATTCATTTCGTGTAACAGTACACATATGCTAAGTACACACATAGCAACACACATTATTTTAGCACCATTTCACACTTGGATGAATTGTGTACTTAACTAATACACATCGTGTACTTGTGTATTCCATCACAGGAAACATGGATCGCCACCATTATGAGACATTTGAAAAGTTTGGAAATGAGACCTTTATCATACATCTGGACAATGGCAGAGGGTAGGCTTCTGCATTGTACTTCAAGATTGTCAGACTGTTTGTCATTAAAAACTCAGCTGTAGTGTATTAGTGCATACATACAGAAAACAACAAATAATGGGTGAGAGAATTACTAAAGCAAAATACACGATGAGCAGGTGTCATATAAAAAACATATTTTAAAAAGTAAGCTTAAATTGAGTGAAAAAAAGACATTGTAAAACTAAAAAAGAAGCATTTCCTGAATGATGGTGTACGTTTTGGATGATTTATAATTATAGGAAAACTCATTAACTTTAATGGGTTAAAGTTTGTAGATGCAATGGGAGTGAATGGGGTCTTTAAAAAACTTCTTCATGGTTTAAGCGCATTACAGTATATAATTCATATGTCCTCATGATGAGTTCATGTACAGTTAATCACTGTGTAATTCTGAGCATTGAAATCGGAGTTTGTACTATACAATAGCTGAGATGAAAAATCATGTTTTTCAAGAATAATTCACTAAATTTGCAAATATATGCAATTTTTTTATGAAACGCAGGACACTGCATACAATTACGCAGATGAGGAATAGACTGCCATATAAACTGCTGCACAGTAATCACACTAATCCCAAACTTAGAAACAATAAAAGTAGACGAGCAGCAAAGGAACAGCTCAGGAAAAGGATTCATCACCTTCAAAATTATCCATGCTTCTGTCTTTGGCCCTAGCTTTGGAAAGCACTCCCATGACGAGATGTCCATCCTAGTGCCATTGACCCAGTGCTGCAGGTAAGACTTCTTCTTCTCGATTTTACGGAGCTTAATAAGAAGGGTGTTTGTATTGTCGACTATATGCGTACAGTATGTGAGTATAACCGCATGAAGTCACACTGACTCTTCTCCCCTCGGCTGCTCTCTTTTTGCAGGGTAAGGAAGTCGACCCACTTGCGTCTGCAGCTGCTGGCTAAGGAAGAATACAAGCTGTCCATGCTCATGGCAGAATCCCTGGTGAGGGACCGCCTCAGTCCCATCCTCATCCAGCCACACCTGGATGCCATGGACAGACGACTACGCCAGGTCAGTGCTATATACTCATTTTTATACAGTGTGCCTTCTTTTTATTTATTTAAATCTTTAAAGGAACAGTTTACAGTCACTAAAATGCATATTTTTACTGTTATCCATAGAGCTATTTATCCATCTAGATTGTTTTGGTGTGAGTTGCTGAGTTTAGGAGATATCGGCCCCGTTTCCAGTCCAAGCTAAGCTAACTAGCTGCTGGCTGTACCTTTCTATTTAGTGTGCAAACAAGAAGCAGGAAAGTGAATTGGCATATTACCCAAAATTATTCCTTTAAACATTCAGGAAAGGTCAACATTCAGTGCCTTTTCAAAAGGCCATTAAATACTTCTAATTACAAAAAATAACTAGAGCTTTTTTCATTCATTCAACTATAAATTATTTTCTCTTGTCTTGTACTGTTTCATTGTCACCAGGTTCTGAATGTGCTGTCAGAATGCATTGAAAAGGAGGGCTACAGTTACGTTGTGGAGGACGACCTCCAGTGGCACCAAGGGACAGACCACGCCCACACCGGCCCCCGACGGAGGTAGCTGTCTGGGGGGCAGCTGGATAGGACTGAATCCCTGGCGATGGGAGATCCAGTCTTTCTCTTAAAACTGAACTGGCATCCTGTAACACAGATGAGGTCTGTCTGTGCTGAATTTCTCAGAGGGCTTGATTTTTGTTTTGCTGAACTCACAGGGAAGCCCACCTGCCTGAGGTTAATATAAGCTGTGTGGAAGTGGAAGCCTGCTGGATAGGACTGGACAAACAGTGCAATGACTTGACCCTGTACTGACGCTCGAGACGCAGGTGATGTCGAAGACTTCTGGATGGATCTGGGGCTGGGTCACAGACTAAACTGAACCTCTCCCCACATCACCCAGACTCCTTAAACATATCCAACCCTGACTCTAGTGTAGGATAGTGTCACCACAGCTGACCCAAACACCCACGACCCACCGCAGCACTACCAAACCATGAAAGTCTTGCAAGAGACGCCTTCTCTCTGTCTTGTTCAGGACCCTTTTTTTGAATTCAGTGAATTCTGAGGGACTTGTAAAGAACCTCCTGAGCCCCCACACCCCCTCCCCTCTCTTCGCTGAATTATGTGTTTATACGTATTGTTGGTATTGCAAGTGTTTCGGTTCCCGGTGGAGGAGGAGGAGGCGGAGGTCGACTTCCTGTTGTCTTAATGATCAAAATGATGTTTTATTGATTTGCTGAAAAGTGTTTTATTGCATAGTGTCTTTTTTTTAAAATTTGATTTCTGCTGAGCTGATTCAGCGTCTATCAATGATATTCAAGATGGAGATATTTGATCGGAGTGCAGGTTTACTCCTGGATTTGTCCATTAATTTTGCCCATAAATGTTACTTGTACTTGACAGAGTATTTATTAAAATTCATATTTATTGTTTGAAATAAATTCTAATCAGTAACACGTCATTTCTTCTGTTATGAACCATTGAATTTAAAATCACAGTGGTGTACTTCCTCATTTGTCCAAAAGAGGGCAAACTGAGCATGTGCAAAAGTAGTTGCCAGGTTCGTGCCTCTCAGTAAAAACCTACATATCTCACCCTATTCCAAAAATCAAGCACGCTTTTCAAATTGTTTTACAGCAGCCAAAAGTATTGGTTCAAATGGTTCAAACAAGCAAGTCTCCGCCTGTGTTTACAACATTTAATCCAACTACTGTCTTTATTTCTTTCAGTGCAACAGATATGAGGTTAGATTTATGGTACCAAAAGCCAAATGTGACACTAATAGTTTTATATTATTGTTTTCTTTGTAATATATTTGATGTCCAGATGTTGCTGTTGTGAAGAGATTATTTTTCAGGATGTATATTTCATTCGTAACCAACAGCTGATAGCTTAACTGTTGGTGTCCACGATTCAGTCACTGGCTGAAAGTTAATATATACAGTAGGAAAATCTAGTGCCTGTGCAATGATAGAAATACTTGAATGTCTGGTTTCATAGCGGAAAGGTTTAAACTCCTCCCGGGTACGAGCTACATATATGTGTGTGCTGACTCCATCTGTTCCATAAGGGTTTTATTATACAGTCTTTAAGTTCCCATAGTCCTGTGTCAGGTCAGTACAGTGTGTATGGACGTATGGGTGGATCCATGGAGAACCTTTAGATGATGTGTTCTTAAAGTGAAAATCCTTCTTTTGTTTTATTCAACTCATTGTTTCTGTGGATTTTTTTTTTTTTTCCATTTCTTTGCATCATGGTAAAAGTGCAATAAAACAAAATAAACAGAATATTATAGTGAGTCTATGTTTTCTTTGGTGTGTATTTGTTTATTATACATGTTTCAATATTATTTAAGATTTTATTAATATTTAATCATCAGGCAAGATAGACATAATGTTGTAAAAGTTAGGTGATTCTTCAAGATTTTTTTTTTATAACATAGGAAGCCAGCCGGAAAGAGGAAAGAAGAAAATACTGAGTGGATGCTGTTTAATGTGGAACGTGCACTTAGACATCCCTCTGGAAGGAAAAAGAACAATAACAGCAACAAAAAAGACATTTCTTTTCCAGAAAATGACCACCACTGAATGCTTACAAGAGTTGTTCCTGTGCCTGGTTGATTTACTTTGCCATGTAAAATCAGTGGAGTACCACTTTAAAGGAACACTACAGTAAGTAATGTGACCTTATTTAACCTAAACTGGGAAACAGTAACAGTAATAATCCCCTCTATTCAACCTCTACTACTTATTGATGTTTCAAGTTTCTAACAATCACACACGGTCCTTTGATAAAGTAAACACCTTCAGGATTAAAGCAAAATGGTACATTGTGCACATTTAAATGAATAAATAAATATCTCTATATGAACTGGTTGCATTGAAAGTGACTAAATAAAGAGACAAACAAGCAGTGGAGGAAGAAGTATTCATATATTTTAAAAGTCTTATATATATATTTTAAAGTAAAAGTAGCAATACCACTCCTTACAAATACTTTGTTACTAGTAAAAGTTCAAAAGGTTAGTTTTGACGTTTTGGTTGAAGTACAAAAGTATTAACAGGAAAATAAAAATATTAAAGTAAAAGTACTTGTTGGGCAGACCCTATCAGAGAGTTATATTATTATATATATCAGATTGGAATATTAGTACTAATGCTTTAACACATTCATAGCATTTTACATTACAGCAGGTGGAGGTGGAGCACATCTTTAATCTTTTTATTTACTGTTAGATAGTTTAATCTATAACTATAATATATATATGAATGAGAGTAAAAAAGTATAAAGTAGAAGAAAATGTAAATACGTTAAAGCACCAAGTACTTTAATAAATGTGCAGAGTTACTTTCTACCACAACAGACAAGACATACTGCCACAGCAACATTCAGAGCATGAGTGGACATTAGCTAGAGTCTGACAAACCACTGAATAAAAATATCTATTTTTTTATTACAATTAATTCATTGATAAATAAAAGGCTGATCATAAGTGATGCAACTGATAACAGGCTCCATAAAACTGGCATTAAATAGAAATAAATCATTGTAAAAACAATACAAATGAAACAAAACCTTACAAATATAATACTTATTGCAGATATTTCGGGACTGGAAGCAGGACGTGTTTAGCCTAATTTAGCAAGACTGAAATGGGAGAAACCACTAACCACTTTTAAAGCTCACTAATAGTCTTGGAAAGAAAGTAAAAGGGAGCATTTTGGTTTATAAATATAGCACATTTAAAAACAACAGGAGTTGAGAGAAGTAGACGTATACACGATAACGAAATAATACAAAAGAATAGGCAATAATTCATAATGCAATACAGTAATGCAATAGAACAGAAATAGAATAAAACCAGCAACAGATTAAAACACAGTAAGAGGAAATAAACCTCTTTACTAAAAGCAAGAGAAAATCTTAAGTAGTCCAGTGTTCAAAGAGTCATTTAATGTCAATCAGCAAATAATTAGATTTAGATAAAATATCCACTTTTCTTGATTTTGTAAATCATTTCTTACCAAAGAAAAAAAATGATGCACTTCAGTAGCTGTATCATGTTCACAAAGGTTGGAACTGATCATGTAGCTCCTAAAAATCTGAATTCATGCCATCAGACAATGATCAGTCGGAGTTTTACTGAAGGTGTAACTTTGTTTTCTAAAACTTGATTGGATGAATAAAACATTAAGTGGGCTATTAGCTCCAATCGAGATAAACCCAGTAGACCCCCATGAGCCAGACTGGTTGGACCAAAGTGAACACCCTGGTGGGCACAGGCCTGTTCTGGGGGTCTTATCTGCAGCTCTCTGTAATGTGACAGTGAATGGCGGCACTGAGGATGGCTGCACAGTACAGCGCAAAGGAAAATGGCTCTCAGCCCAAGCTCTGTGCATAAGCATGTTTACAGTTCCCAGTGCACTGTTGTGTTTTGATAACCTTTCCTCACAGAACAGCCCCCGGAAAAGCTACTTGGTTGGTTTACATAAATGCATGTACACACACACACACACACACACACACACACACACACACACAGGCAGACATGGCTATGAATGGAGGAAGCGGAGTCTGAGACAACCATCAGAGGGACAGAGAGTGACCAGAGGAGAACTAAGGGCTGTAATCACTGCGGCCGGCCGCAGACAGGACGCCAGAGGAAGCCTCGTCATGGGAGTGAACCATGAGGCGCTTATCAGATCTTAGTTCAAACCAACCTGATACGGTGACCTCCTCCTCTCCTCCTCTACATTGCCTCTCCTGTTGTTCTATTTACAGCTTTGTATGAATCAGTCCATCAGCTGAATGAGCTCAATTTGCGAGCTACTTGTTCAATGGGGTCAGTTATGTTGCTTTTTGGTTGAGTGTATAAAGCAAAGAAGGAATAGATAAATCCAGTTATATAGCACTCAGTATTCAGATCATTCAAGTTAATTAAAAGTAGGAATTCCACACAGTAAAAATACTCCATTACAAGTAAAGGTCTTGCATTGATAATGTTACCTAAGTAAATGTACATACGTACCATTAGCAAAATGTGCTGCCCACTATGAATGGTGTATTATTATATATTATATTAGACATTGATTTGAACAAAAGCCTCATATTTAATAAGCAGAATCATATTTTTTTGTATGAAATCTTATCTTATCTTAGCAGTACCTGGGTAGTACTTAGTTAAATTCCACCTCTGGCAGCAAGGAAGAATACTCATTATAAGAGAACATTAAAATTATTTTCAGAAAATGATTACTGGAACATAATGGTTTTGTTGAATATGGTGTGAAAAGTGTGATAATGGAAAGTCTGCTACGTGCAGAGACATGTTGATATCTTAGCTGATACCAAGCTAAAGATTAGAAAATTAAAATATTTCTTTAAAAAGACAGAAAATGAAGTGACAAAACTAAAAACAACAACTCAACAAAACTGAAGACATAATGACATTTTAAACTTAACTACTTTCTTTAATTCTTAATTGAAAGTCTCCCCTTAAACAGGCCCTTATTTTCTCTAAGTCTTTTTATTTGTACTGTAAAACATATGCACAAGCATATAATGTATTTGCAACCTTGATGTATGTAACCATCACCTGTAAAGTTCCCAACAAGAAAGGTCAACATATGTTTAGATGTATTTATATATTTATTAATATGGCATAAAAATATAATCTATAAAAATAAAGAATTAAAAAAGCCTTTAATCAGCCTTTAATATATTGAAAGCACATGACCTCAGTGTCCTCAGTGGAAGCTTTAGCTTTGGTTACTCCCACCCTCATGGGATTTATTTTACCTGCACGTCAAAACCACAATTTTGTATTTGAAGAGAAGGAACAAATAAATCGCGCAGAGGCCAGTGATTTCTTTTCATGCGTCGAGATGCTCTACAGCTTTTTTATGAAGCTACTTAAAAAACCTGTGCCTGCACCTATAATTGAGTACAGCGTTGACCTTTTAGCTGCTTCATTAGCCTATCAGAAATAAAGAGGGAATTACTTTAATGTCTCTGCATCGACCCATATAGCGCCTATAGGCCTCTCCTGCACCAGCGGGGCCACACACAGAGAGCCTGGCAGACCTCAGGCTGTTTTCCCGGCCTCTGTCGCCTCACGGGAGACTTCCAATTGCCCCGTTAAGAGCCCTTCAAAATACACATCCCCCTGTTTTATAGACACGGAAACAATTTTTGGCTATTATAGAGCATTATAGATAGCATCTACAAAACTTCCCGTTGTTGACTAAACGTCTGCCAGAGTGGACACACACACCCCAAAGAGTTAACGGAGAGAAAAAGAAAACAAAGATGCAAAGGATCTTGTTTGTTGTTTTGGGGATAGCTGTTTTAAGTACAGTTGGAGAGATTAGGCTATAAAAAGAAGCAAAATAAAACATGAAGGCGGTCTTCAAGTCTAGCAGACCACCCAGGATCCTGCTGGAGGTGGGGGAGAAGAGGCGTTTGTCGAGCACACTCGCTCCGGGTTCAGACAACCAGGCTGCTACTGTGAGACTGTCCGGATCGGGCCGGATGAGTCGAATCCAAGTTAAAGAGGCACTCCACCAATTTCACATGTCAATGTCTGTTTACAGGTGCTGAGGAGTACTACTGCAAATGTGAAGCAAGTTGTATAAAGCTGTTTGTGACTCCAGAGGGAGCTCCATGAAATTGGATAAATTGCCCTAAGTGACTTAGCGTCGGTTGAGGATGAAGACTACAAGTCTGAAAAATAAAAATAAAGATGCTGGCGTTGAGCTCACAAGCCCTCGGCAGCCCGGCCCTCATCTCCGCTTGAGGTTAGCAGGTCAAAGGCTACATTAGCCACTACTTAGCATAAAACACCAGAATCTCACACCAAAGTGTCTGTATTTCTGTTGCATTGTGGATAATGTAGGCTGCAGGTTTTAAGGACGAAGAATGAATTGAAAAAGATAATATCTGTGATTCGGCCTAACCGATTTTTTTTTGTGCAACAACTGTACTGAATGCTAAATCGGTGCCGTGCTCTTTTAAAGAGTCGGTCTGATTTGGACTGAGAAACCTGGAAACTGACTAAAGATTCATGTTCATTGCTCAACAAGGGCCAACCGACCCCGACAGCTCACTGTTGAAAATACAAAAATAAAATGGAATCTATTCAACAGCTACAGTACGTAGCCGAGGGCAGCTTTTGAAAAACTGAAGCCCATTGACTTAAGCATTTCCTGTTTGCAAGACTTGTTAGACATTTTTACTCTACACTTCAGAAGGACAAACATCCTCTGACTCCACTAGATGTATCTAACAGCCGTAGGAGTGGTTGTAACTTTACAGAAAAGTTTTCAAGTCAGGTCAAATTGTTATTTACATTTACCCAAAATCTCATTTGCCTCAGGGGGCTTTGCAATCTGTAGCCCACGACATTCAGCACCATCTGTCCATAGACCCTTCAGGGTAGGAAAAACTACCCAAAAAACTAGAGCATAGAGCATCTATTATATTTAAATACATGTCCCTATTTCTACAGGATTATCTACTTTTTGTATGTTTTGCTTTTTTCATTTAAGTAAGAATTTAAGGAGTCCTTGATATCATTTTAAAGTTAAAGCACATTATGGGTTTAAATACTTTCTAGTCTGGTCCCTTCTGCACTCAAATAGATTCATTTGAAAGACTTCATCTTAGATACCCTAAAAAGTGACAAAATAAAGATTTGTGTGGATGAGATAAAGACTTGCAGCAGTGCACAAGACCAGAACAAGAGTTCAAAGAGCTCAGAGAGTTGGTCCTGAGTCTTGAGACCTGCTGCCTGTTACTGGAGAGCAGCTGGGACTAGGAGGGGGCGAGGGGGGCCGGAGGCAGCCGACATCAGCAGAGCTCAGAGTGAGTGTCAGCTGGCTGAGCAGAGCATGGTGGCAGAGCAGAGCAGCAGGACAGGGTGTTGCTGCTGCTGGGCTTTGGCCAGGAGAGTCAGACACTTTGGATCACACATCCGACTCCTCAAGGTGTAGATATGTTTGATAACTCTCACTATCCCTTCAACTGTTTCAACTACGATGGAGACGGATACCCTTCCTCTAGCACTGACGAAGAGAAGAAAATGTGCAGACCCGCGTACAGGTACGGATCATTTTCAACTTCTTAAGTTATTTTTACTTTGAGGAAGCTGTTTTACATCACATTATCTACCCGGATGTCATATACATTAAGATTAAGAGGTTTTAAAAACTGATTTCAATTTTACCTGGCTAATATTTCACCTTTAATCCTTACTATTTCCTAATTTTTTGTGTAAAATGTATTTAGTTTTTCATGTGATTTGAGCTTTGTTTCATTTGGGTAAAACAAACCAAAAAGATATTTTAGATTATTTTATTTGCAGCCTAAGTTTTACCAGTTTACACAAAATATATTCAGTACAATAAGTTTTAAAACATAACTAATAAAAAATAAGGCAGATAGATATGTAGTTGACTCTTCTACTGAGACAGCTGCATCATTCCCCTTTAGTGGAGTGCTGTAAGTCCTTTTATAAATGTTATCTCATGATTATTTCATACAGTTAAAAGTCTAATTTGGAAAAGTGATTTTTATACTGGAGTCTAGTTTTTTGTTTTCAACATCAGTATCCGTTTGAATTGAAGCTAGAAAATAAGATTTAAAACTTTCAGTTCCTTTTTCTCTAAGTTAACCAGAATGTTCTGTTTGATCCTCTTTAACAGCTCCAAAAAACAAACCTAACATTTGTTTTGATCAGCTTGATACTTGATAATGTTCCCTATCTTTATTAGAATTGCTCAAACTGATGACATGTTAAAAGGTCTGCTACAACAAATAGCGTGTTACTTCTCTTTGGGTTCTCAGAGAGCACTGAATGTAACAGATTTAAATGTTCCAAATCTGTAATTGATGTCGAAAACACTTTTTGAGCAGAAAATATATTTATTCATGCATAGTCCACAACATATGAAAGCAAAAAATATATTATTTGCTGTAATAATAATGCATTATGATCATCTTCATATAATTAAATTAAGTGCAGTTTTTTGCAAAGATAAGCCCTTTAATTACTTTTCTGTATATTACATAGATTTTTAATAAGGTAAGAAGAAGAAAAAAAAGATTTCAGGGAATATAATTGGTACATTTTGCTATTATTACTATTATTACACATACAGCAGTATGATCTAAGGGTAAAGTAAAAGAGAATGTAAAAAAGGTTTAAGATCCTGTCTTTTTCAACTTGCTCACATTGTGTTACCTGAACGAAGTGTGCGTCTGTGTGTCAGCTACATAGCTCTGATAGCCATGGCCATCCAGCAGAGCCCCGAGCAGCGGGTCACTCTGTCGGGCATCTATGAGTTCATCATGAAGAGATTTCCTTACTACCGCTCCAACCAGAGAGCCTGGCAGAACTCCATCCGACACAACCTGTCTCTCAACAGCTGCTTCATCAAGGTACACTACAATATTACTATTATTTTCTATTATTTGCCTTTTTATCTTCTTAGTAGGAGAAATAGTTGTAGTTTAGTGGTGTTTATTTTCCTTTCCTCAGTAGTAATAGTGTGTTTCTTCCTCTAATTATTATTGCTTTTGTTATATTTTTAATCATCTTCAAGTATTTGTTATTTTTCCCACAGGTTCCTCGGACAGAGGGCAATGAGAAGGGAAAGGGAAACTACTGGACTTTTGCCACCGGCTGTGAATCCATGCTTGACCTGTTTGAAAATGGCAACTTCCGGCGTCGCAGGCGCAGGAGGAACATGAAAATCGGGTTCCGTGATTCAGGAGAAACCCCTTTCCACCCCTTGGAGAGCCACAGCAATCAGCGCGTACCCACAGCTCGCCACCCCGAACCCGACTCCACCCTGTGCCCTTTGAACCCTGAGAGGCCGAGGCCGGGCCCCCAGCAAAACCACCTCATCCCAAACCCCGGCCAGCAGGGGAAACCGGAGTCAGAGATCAAGTTTAGCATTGACTACATCCTATCCACGCCGGATCCACCCCTTCCTGGGTTCAGATCCTCCCACGGCTCCGTTCACATAGGGCCAACGGGGCCGCCTGTACATGTTCTGGAGCCCCAACATCTGAACCTGCACTTCTGGACTCTGTAAGGAGGAGAGAAAAGCAGAGACTGAATATATTCTTTCATTGTCGTCTGTGTCCAAAACTGGGAAGTACTATGAGGACATCCAAAGACAGAAGAGAAACCCCACAAGAGGAATTTTACTGACTTGAAAATGTAAATGAGGAACAAAGTATAGAGGTACAGAATTGTGTGATGGGTTCTAGATAAAGAAAAAGTCACTAAAAGAAAGAATTGTGCTGTCTAAGAATTCATCCAAAAGATAGCAAAAAAGCATTCATATTGTCATTATACTGTATGTGCAGTGTCCAGTGCTGACATAGACTAGTTTACGGTATCTCTATATGTATAAACACAAGAGCTGTGAGCACAAGTATGATGTGTTCAAAAATCAGATTATAGGTAAAACAATGTTTTTGATTTATTAGATTATCTTCAGATCAGAAGTTGAGGTGGTTTTCTTCATAAAAGAAAAAAACATTCAGAATTGAATGGTTTTCCCTTGTCGCTTGTCATTCTTTAAGCCAGACGATTCAGTCTGTGAAAGCTCAATGTGATTTACTGTATGTCATTTCTCAGATTTATTTCTGATTAATGGCAGATTTGGTCACATTAGTTTAGTGAATGTCAGGACAAATGTCTTTGACAAGTCTTGTATTTTGAAAGATCCCCTCCAGACATATTTCAAGAAATACTATTTTCTTTCATTGTTTTGACTAAAATAATCAGTTGCCCAGTTAAATATTCTTACATTGTGAATTTACATACACTCTTTCTCCCTCATTGAAAAACAGAATTTATGAGCCTACAAATTTATGCAAATATTTTCATTTCAAAAGTTGAACTGTTGGACACAAGTACTTCACTTCCACTCTCAGTGTATGCGTGCTGGAGTCACAGTGGACCATGACTGGCTTCCAAACCACTTTTTCCTTGTTTTAGCTCAACATCCCCCATTTTCAGTTGAAAAGTTTTTATAGTGATAATTGTGTTGGTTTTTCTTTATTTTTTTCCCAAAATACATGCAGTAGAAGCATGTGTTCAAATGTATTAATGCCACCTTCATGCCTGCACTCCTTTCTTTTTCTCCAATAATAATAATAATAATAATCTAATAAAGTTGGCAACAGACCTTTTTCATACAAGACACTTTGAAATGTCACAGTAGGAATAACACAGCTGTAAATAATAAGATTAATGATGGCTGAAGTCCGTTTAGCTGCCTCAGATTCAGGGTCCTGTGCATGCTGGCTCACTGTTGGCATTTCTCAAACCCATAAAACGTGCTCATTCTATACAGTACTATATATACATGAGGAGCAGCTGAGATGAACACTGATCATGGATGGTGGGTGACACCGCTCTAAGAAAACAGAAACTGTTGAAGTTTGGTGAAACATTTTGCTATCTCTATGTATGTAAGTTTAACTGACAGTGTCATTCTAAAGTTGCACTTTGCATTTAAATAAATTTAAATTAATACTGTTTACTGTATAGCATGTAGTGTGACACTGCAACACAGTGAATGCATTTTCTAAGACTTAATGCTTTTTTTTTCGAGATCTTTCTGAACCACTCGCAATTTATTTATTTATTTATTTTCCTTTTTGCATTGCACTGTGGGAGGATATTGTCCATCAACAGCACTGAACTATATATACTGTCCAGTTTGGGTATAGGCCACTTTTCCATTGTGAACACACTACATACAAAAAGTGCTTAGAATTAGGTTGCAGTATGGATTTGGGACGCTGTCATAACTTACTGAGGCACTTGAACAGAACAGAGCCAGCGTTAACATTATTACCTGTGCTTTTCCTACTGTGACAAGTCTGCTGTGGAAGAAAAAGGCCTATTCTGACTGAGCCCACTCGTTTCAGACCCACCTTCTGCCCACATTTTGCTAATTTTTTCACTGACCTTTTGAAATCCTGATTGACTGACACTTAAATTCTAATCCAGTCACTCCTCATTATAACATACTGTATCCACACACTTAAAGGAGGCCTAACAAAACAGAGGTCTGGCCAACATTTCTTGCCTGTACAAGGGAGATCAATCATGGCGCGTTCCTGTACCGTTGAAGGGACATTTTTCAATTTAACCTTTATATTATGTCTTGACTACATCAGAGGAGGGTTTCAACACACTTAACATGAGTGGCATTTAATATAGCATAACACTTGCAAGGTGAGGCCGAGATGTGACCCTATTTAAATACAGAGGCCCCTGCCTAAGCCTTAACAGCTACACCTCCCCCCAACAAACCCACACACACCACATGACGCAATTATAATTAAACACACCTTATGCCTCCTTTGCAAATGCCCCTCATCGATCTGTGGGTTTTTTAACATTCATATGTGAACTGCCCCCCAGCTAACGTCGGCGGAAGCACAAGCGTTTATGGATCAGCAAGTTTCCATTAACAAAGTTGTTGATGTTGAATAGCGGGGGCTGCTGCTGCTGCTGTGATGCCGCGGATATATTTGGGTAAATTAACTTAGCATAAAGTGCTCCAAGGCTACGGGGTCTTCTGAGGCAGCTAAAGAGAAGGCAAGGCACCAGTCAGGCCCGAAAAGTCAATGCACATATTATGTTGTCAGTGAATATATGAAACTGTAGCTACTGGCATGGTGTCCCAATGAATGGCCTCTATTAAATGAACACTCTAAATTCATCTCTTTTGTTTTGTTCCTAGTTAATCCCTCTAACATCTTGAGCCAGTTGTTTATAATTACCTACATGGTAATATTTCTCATTTATAGTATGTGTGTACATTTGTTTGAGACTTCATTATGTGTATGCTGCCAGGTAAAATGAGCAGCTCAGGGGCAACAAACAGCAGAACTGCAGGTAGAGGAAAATTGGGAAACCATTGATCTGCAACGTTAATATAAAGTAAATCATAAACACAAATAGGTCATTTAATCTTGAGTGCTTGTTTAGAGACTGGATTTCACTGAGGCTGTGGTGAGGATTATGGGAATGAAGATAAATATGAGTGTATTGTTTGCTTCTTATGAGAGTGTATTTCTTCAGTGCGTGAGTGTCATTTCTCTGTTCTTAACTGCTTCCTTGAGCTGTCGTTGGAGGAGTGTGAATGATCACACACTGCAGACACACTGATATTAATATGAGCTGACCAGCTAATGAAGATCAGTGAAATAGCCTGAGGACTTTGACACATACACACACACACACACACACACATCTGCCCTTTGTCATCTGTGCAGATTTACCACTTTAAGGCTAGAATATGCTATTATTTTTTAAATGGCTGTGGGTGTGGGTGTGTGTGTGTGTGTGTGTGTGTGTGTGTGTGTGTGTGTCAGTAATGAGAAAATAAACACAGCACGTCAATAAATGGCAGTTGGGAGATGTGTTTACATTTTGACTGTTAGAAGGACGTCCCTGCTAGGAATACAGCAGAGGGTGGTTGTCTGGAGGGGACCAAAAGTGTTTTACTTCCAGAGAGAAAATGAAAAATAGGCAGTTTAATAAAGGAGAGGGCTTGACATTCAGATCTGCCAGATATCTGTTTAAATTTGTCAGCTCTCCTTTGATAAACACTTGAGATGTGGTAACGTTTCAGGAAAGGTGTTCAGTATTTCTTACACCAGAGGGTCATGATTTGACCCTTTGAGCCACAGTTTGATATCTGCTGCAGCTGAAACCCAGTGAGAACATTTTAGACATTAACTAGACAAATAGCAGTAAGGACTTGCAAAGTAGTATAATGTCATCTAATAAAACTGGCTCAAGTGTTGCCATATTGAATTAACTGCCCTCTGATAATGTCCCAATAAAAGGTTTTAAGCTTAACCAGTAGTAGTGGTATTTTTTTTTTTATTAAAGTAGCAGTACAATACAGTGGACATACTATGTTAAGTAAAAATCATGCATTCAAAACTTTACTTAGGTAAAAGTACAAAAGTATTAGCATCAAAATATAACATAAGTACCAAAAACAATAGTACTCATTATGCAGAATGGTCCATTTTAAAATAATCTGTATTAAATTATTGGATTATAATGATTGATGCATTCATGTGATCGTCGCTTTAATGTCACATCACTAAAAAATGGTACTAGATATACAATGGAAAGGGGCAAGGCAATGCATACAAAAACATACCACTGAATTCCCTCATAGTATAGATAAAGAATAATATATTCTCATTACAGGTACTGAAAAAATATGACATATCTGAAAAACAAGTGATCTATAAACTACAATAATTACAGGGGTGCCTTGCTGGCCAAGGGGTTAACAACAGAAATGCAACATCCCTGGTTCACTTCTGGCCGGAGACCTTCTCTCTTTCCACTCTTTCCACTTTCAACTATTTAATAAAAGCCATAAAATGCTCCCCAAAATTATATTGACGTAATTTTTATACCTACACAGTAAATAAGAAATAAGTGTAGTTATCTAAAAGTAGCAAGAATACATGGGTTACTGTATAAGAACACATTTGTTGAAGCAGTGAGCTGTTATATGACCAAGTTCTGTGTTGCAAAGCAGATCCATTGCACTGTGTTAACTTAACATGCAATGCAACTACAATGCACCACAGCTCCAGGCAGCATTTGGTACATTTTGTAAATTAATCCAGTTTCCTCTGCTGCTTTATGGTGGATACAGCAGTCTATTCGGTTTTATTGATGGTTCAACTTATTGGAAGATGATTTTCTTCATCAGTTACATCCTTTTCCACTCAATTTGACCTCTGACACGTGTTCCATCAGGCTCTGTAGGCCGGCCACCAGGGTGTGCTAACTAAGTGCTTGTGGAGAAGGGAATCACAAACACAGTGTATCAATTTTCAGAGTAAAAGTGGATGCTCTACATTTCTGCTCCTGAGTCTAGTGGCTCCATGTGCTCAGGCCTCTGCAACAGATATTATGTTAGAGTTAATGTGATGCTTGGCAAAATTTAACCAACATGTCTAAGTTTTATTTGAAGGGGAGAACACGCACTGCTAAGGAGTGATATATTGTTGCTCAAATCACTGTTTCACTATCACACACATACCTTATAGCAGTTGTTGGTGTAGCACGTTTTCATACTAACAGTAACATTACACAGTCTTACACCAGTGTGGAGCACGTGGCACCTCAGCTTCTGATAAACACGATTTGTCTCTTGAATTACCACCTAATGTGGATATATTTTTTCCATTCTAAAGGAATCGAAATCTAATCTAAAATACAACCTAAAAAATAAAAAAATATAAATTGTTTAATCAAATTTTCCTTCAGAGTTGAACATGAAAACATAAAAGCATTTACCTCTCAAAGAGAAATCCGCCAGCTCTTTTGTGCAGTACGTTTTAAAGAGATTATGAGGTAGTCACTCATTTAGAAACAGCACATGTTGAGTCAAACAGGGATCCTGTGTACTGGCGTGTTCCAGTCTACTGTCCCGACAGACACACCCCTCTTTCTTTTTGACCGGGAAAATCGCTCCAGTGACTAAGGCAGAATGTGAGGGGCCATGTTGTGGGATGAGGCGATTCCTGACGACCAATGGGGAAGCCCCTGGTGTGGGGCCCACGGGCCTCCAAAGAGGAGAGGAGGAGGAGGAGGGGGGAGTAAGGTAAATGAGGAGGGTTTACTGCAGGTCACAGGGATCCGGGCAGAGGATGGTGAGCCAAGGCGAGGGCTTGGAGTGGTGGCAGCGTGTTGTAGTGCAGAAAATAACAGGGGAAAAATTTATTCTAAACAAAATAAAGACAAAACAAAGGATGCGGACACACTGCTAATGTTTTATTAGAGTTCATGCATAAGTCAAACAACACAAAGAGAAATGAAAGATGAGGCAACTCAGGAACATAGCAGTCACACAGCACAGCCTCCCTTATCAGCATCTCTATTCATATCATCCAGAGACACACAAAGAAACGTATTGTTGCTCTGCAAAAACAAGAGATGACTCTACGCTGAGATTCAGTTACAAATCACTGACAGAGAAACCAGGTAGATCCTGGGCGGTATCAGGCAGGATTGTAACATGTATTCACACACATTTGGAGGCTTCAGGGTTTGTTTCCCCCCCACCAATCAACTGAGATTTCTGCATTACAGAACAGCTGACACACACAGACACACACACAGGTTGAACACTAAAACAAGGAAACAGAAGGAGAAAAGGAAGGTTCCCTTTCAGAATGTGCAACGTTGATGCTTTGACCAAAGTGTCCAAAGCAAGTTAATTATGTCTGTTTTTTGTCATGTGCTAGTCAGTCCAAAAGAAATAATAAGTGAGTGACGCTATTAAAAATATCCTTCCTTCATGACACACATGAGAAAACTGGTGAGATTCCCGTACATCTACAGCAGTGATGGACTGATTTTTACTGTATGGACACATTCAACCAACAAGAATATATCCACATAGCCAATAAACATGACAAATAAGATACATTAGCCAGCAGCAATGTATATTAAAAAAAAGGAAAATCTTAACTCCATAAACAAAAGCCATAAACACTAAAACACACACCATTATGCCAATTTCTCATTCTGTCCCAAAACATAGTTAATTTCCCCATTTTCCTTTTGTACAATAAAAGGATTTAAAATACTGATCTGAAAACAAAAAACAGCGCTGAATAAATTATCTCTACACTTCTGCTCAAATATTTTCCAAACAGTTCTCATTAATTACATCAGGTTAAGTGTTAAGTGATTTACAGTACAAGTGGAAAGGTAATGCGACTGTCAAAGTGCACGCTTGTTTTTAAGCTTGTAGTGATTGTGTAACATGTTGCATTCGTTATTGTCAAAAGAGTAAAATGTCTCATTTGTAGCACTACGTCTGCGGCCGGCTCATTTTCTGAAAACAAATGTCATGTGGAAAGGTCAGGCCTTTTAAGATGTCAGCATGAAGAAATAAAAGGAGAAATGCACGGCAATAATGTGCAAACAGGTTCTGTAGTGTGATACTGAGTGGATTTTGGAGGACCGGACTATGTGAGGGAAAAACCCAATTATCCACATTTTTTCCCATCCAGACGAAAGCACGAATTTGGTCCTCTGAACTCAGTTTCAGAACAGGAATCATACAGCACCGATGGACTTAAAAAAGGGAGTTTACTTAAACTACAGTCAATATGAAACTCACCAATGAAAGCAAGTATCTCTTCAGCTAGGCCCAACTCTTACTGGGAAATAACATTACCACTTCATTTGAACTCAATCCATGTAAATTCATGACACAAAGTATCTGTGTTCAGCATAAAGATGATTACACAAATAACAATAATTAAGACAGCATTTTTCAGCAGGTGGAATTAAGACCAACTACCAGCCAAAAATATTTAGACAGCAGCTTCAGGCCAATAACAATCTCAGCAAAATAATCTCTTGTGATCCATATATCGTCAAACAACTGCGGTGAAGCTCATCAGAGAGAAACACGTGACTTAGAGGAAGGTGAAAGAACACATTTGTCGGTGTGGTGCGCAATAATGCCAATCGCAAAAACTAAATTCCCGTCTCCTTTTTTAAAGGAGTTTTTGTATATGAGATGTCTAACTATTCCCTTTTCTTGTGAAAAACCCCAGTGAGGTACATCCCTATTGTCAGAGCAGCTGGAAGATAAAACCCTTTTTCAAAAATCTACATTAAATCAACATCTCTTTCATACATATGTAGCTTAAATATACACACGACTAATAAACTTGACATTTGTCATTTACAGATTTACAATTCAACTCAGACTGACTTGCAAAGGGACTGATAAACACCAAAACAATATCGTTGTAGGTCTGCTCACTGATTTGGCCTCTCATGGGCATTTCAGCAGTGACAAACCTAATGTTTTCTGCTGGGGTTTCTTTAAATTGTACAAACTTAAATGATCAAGTTTGGTTGGTGTTAATGCATGCTTTAAGGGCTTGGGTAAGAAAATGATTTCCTACTAATGACGAGGACAGCAAGACGCCTCTTTTATAAAACTCTACATGGTATTTTTAGGATTAGCTGCAACATGAAGCTCTGCAGTCCACAACAGGCGGAGGGAGATTCTTCACACGTAAAGAAGAAGGTACAAGCAGGCTGCCTCACAGTCTCTGACACTGGTCGTCGTTTGTGAGATCCATCGTCGTATCAAAACAGGCCATTTGTTTGGTTTTCCCTTTCTTGTGAGAAATTAACGGAGGACATGAATAATTTCCTTGCATGTACAAATCTCTGTAGTGTAACTGAATAGTGTCGTGATGATTCAGAACGGAGGTGGGTGTGTTTTAGCGGTCAGGTCAGTCCGTCCTCGGGTGATTCTGCTCGGCTGGTCGGGTCTTATGCTGGGGATTCCGAAGGGCAAAGGTGGGAGAGGTCTACATGGCGAGCAAAGCGTCATCCGGCCTGTCCGGCTTCTTGCGGCTGGGGGTTCCCTGCGCTGCGCCTGGTTCGCCACTGGGGGGCGACGGTAGGTTGGGGACCATCTCTGCAGCTTTGGCTCTCTCCTCGAGGAACTTGTCGAACTCTGGAAACATTCGGATGAAAGGAAGGAAAACAAAAGGTGGAAGAGAATGTGAATTTTAGCGGAGGTGTGGTCAAAATGGAGCTGGAAAAATGAGAGAAAATTAGATTCAAGTCGTCCTTACCTTCACTTGTCACGCCTTCCTCGCCTTCATCTCCTTTCTGTTGAAAAGGAAAGACCACAATGTAACACCTGGAAGTTGACTTTGCAAAATGTATTCCACTGCAAACCACCCCACACCAAGTACAGTTCTGACCCTGTGCACGTTCCCAAAACCAAACCACCCACTTCAGCACTCTCACCAGTTTTATTCTACATATATAAGGAGCCACTTACCCATCAGCACCACTCACCCAAACCTTTGCAAATTATTTGGGAATATATTTTCTACTGGTGCCCATTTATACAAAATACTATGAATACCAAGAAAAATCCACCAGTTGTTTCCTGACAAAAACAGCTGGATATTTCCACCCAGTAACGCAACACGATTTCATAAATTACTGTAAAATGAGCATGAATGCTTGTGATGATTAAATGTGCTTTCCCTCCCTTTCATCACATTAAAAACAGTTATATTTAACTTGAAAGAATAAAAAAAAAAAAACGTGTTTTTAAATACTTTATTGACCCCGGCGGGAAATTTATTTCTTTAGGTTAGGCAACAAAAACAATTTCAAATTTACAAGTAAAAATCTCACGCAGTACAAGAAAGAGCTGAGGGCAGACGGATACAGTCGTTCCATTCTGATGTTTTAGTGCCAGACTAAAACCTGATTATGGACACTTGAGAGTGTGTCCACTACTGGTGGGAAAGCATTATCTCACACTGTATCCAGCAACACATATCTGTTTTCAAAACCTCATGCTCATTTTACTAAATTTTGTCATAATAATGACAAAATTAGTTTGTCCCCACAACACACTGTTAGTAACTTAAAGTGAACAAGGATATTAGTATGTGATTGATCAAAAAGTGAGGAAACATGAGTGAAATATATTACTACTTTAAAACCATGTTTTAAAATGAGATAAGGGGATAAACCAGAGTGAAAAAGGAAAGAGAAAGGGAAAAGAAAACTGCAGGCAGAAATAAAAATCATGACGGGCTCACCACATCAGTACACAGCCACTCCTCTATGTCATCCATGACAGAGGACTGGCCTCCAACACCCTACGGGGCAGCATCAAGACCGCCGCAGGTGGCCGGTGGAGGGGCAGCAATGCCACAACAGAAAACAAAAAAAATCCCGCCCCAAACACAACAAAAAAATATGACTTAAATGAACTTCAGTGTTAACTCAAATGCAACGTCAGAAAGTATTTTGTGAGGGAAAAAAATGAAGAAATGGAAATCAATGTTTGTGGATGGTGTAGTGCATCACACGCACGGATGATAATGACAAGGAGTCACATCGATATGCACTGAGCACCTAGCACAAGCCGGTTAAAGCTGGAGACGCAGTGGAAAGCGGGCGACGATGAATGGAGCAAGCAGCGTCGTATCTGAGAGCACAGGCTGCTTCAGCCAGCATTCAAAGTTTATGTTTTACACAGCCAACAACCGACAGAGCACATTCACACCAAGCATGTTAGTTTTCACTCTTTAGTGTTACACTCGACATGCTCAAAGGGTCACTTGGATATAAGACAAACTGATTAGTAACATCTGACTGGTGTTCATTGCCTTCCCTGATGGACCATTATCAAGTGTGAAAACAGGGTTAAGACAAAACAAGATCTATGCCAGTCTTGTTAGTACTGCATGAAAAAGAACAGCTTAGATACTGCTGTTAAAACTGCAGGCTCGGTTAGAAGCAGAAACGGACAAAAACAAACTCTTCAAGACAAGTTGAAACCTGTTTTTTCTATCGGTTAACTATTTGAGGGATTAGTAGCATCAAGCAGCAAGCAAGTTATAAAGCATGGGAGCAAATGCTTCATCGTGGTCAGGGCTCAAAATTAACTTTTTCCCCCCTCAGTGTCCCGCAACTGTCCCAGACTTAACAACCACTGTCGCAAATTCAAGTTCTCTTTTTCATTCTATATGATTAATATAGTTGAATAACTTTGTTTCAATGACTCACTCCGGTCCACCATGGAAGTTCTGCTTGTTGTTCCCTGTACTGATATCTGAATAAAAAACTAAAATCAGTCTTCATTATTCTTTTAGTCACTGGTTGAGTTACTAGTTTTTTTGTTTATTTCTAATTGTTTGATAAATACTGCAAACAGCAGTGCTCAAATCTACAAAGGGGGAGAGAAGATCAAATAAACTATTTTAATATTTACAGGCTCAAACTAACTATTTACCTATAAGCTATAGCAACACCCTAATCCAGAGATCCGGAGAGAAAGAGAAGGTCAAACGCCCCACCTATTGACTCACTGCACACAGCACAAGAGGAGAGGGAGAGACCCATGGTGCTGTTGGCAGGAGCGACATGGACTGTGATTACTCTGCCATTACTAGCATGCATGGGAATGAATTACAATATAATATATTTGATTATAGTTCTCACATTTTCCCTGGTAGTCTGAATAAACTAAATTTGTTGCTACACTGGTCTCTCTCCATGATTGAACTTGTGTGTAAGCCCACGTGTGAGGTAGCGTAGAGCTTGTGCTGGTGCCACCTCACAACAATTAGAATTATTTATATTCCATGATGAATAAATGTAATAATTTTATTCGAATGACAAACACAGTATCTTAATATAAAGGGTGCTATTTTTATTGTCCCCGGGTGAACAGGACATCCTTAATTTTGAGCGCTGATCGTGGTACAGCTCACACACAAACACACACTCCAAAATGTTATTTGAGTGGTTATGAAAGCACAGACTGGGTATGACAGCACAGACCGAAAATTATAGCCCACACTGGACATAAAAGCCTGTGTCACTGAGACTCACCGCTCCTGCAATTGGCTGTAGGACATCCAGAGTGGGAGGAAGGCTGCCAGTGGCATTGCTGTCTTCTGCTGTAGAGCTGAGACAAGAGGTAGAAATGGGCTTTTATACAGTAATACTGTTGGGAACTTGTTTTGTCTAATTGTTCTTAATTAAAGATATGTGAAAAATGAATGTAGAGTAAAATCAACAATAAATCTCTAATACGTCCTTACGTCTTGCGTGGTGGTTCAGACAGAGCTACAGTCCTGGTTTGAGCAAACACATCAAAGTCATCCTGGGTAGGAGGGGGCTTACAGCTAGACAGAGAGCTCAAGGTACTGCTCACACTGTCTGCACCCATGTCTGCAGGGAAAAAATACACTTGAATATCAAGTAACTCTGCAACATAAAACAGAATTTTACTGTTTGAACTGCAAAGCTAATGTAATAGTGTCAATATGTTTTACATATTTTTTTTTACAGAGGCTTACTGCATGTCCAAAAGTCCTCTAGCAACCATTGCTGGTGCTGAAATAGAGGTCAAATGCACAATCAGCTGGTGGCTAAATTAAGTCTACAACAAATTATAATGGTAGAGGTACAACAGTTGAAGGAATAGTTACCTTATAGTTAACTTATTGGGAGTTACTTATTTGCTTTCTTGCCGTGAGTAAGATATCACTACCACTTCGATATGTGTGCATTAACTATGAAGGTAGAGCTGGGAGTTTATTAGCTTAGCTTAAAACCTTGGCGGCAGGGCGAAACAGCTAGCCTGGCTCTGTCCAAAGTTCAAAAGTGCACCTAGCAACACTTCTGAAGCTTAGCAATTACCTGGTTGTATCTCAGCCAGGTAGAGCGGCTTCCTGAAATCTCTGCTGGTTGCCTAGCCTCACAGTGACAACAGGACTAGGCACAGTTTTGAACTTTGGACATACCCAGGCTAGCTCTCTCTCCCTTTACTTGCAGACTTGATTGCAGCTATTGTTAATAAGACAAACAATATGTAGTCTTAGCATAATTTTAGATGGTTGTAATTGTAGACAGTTGCAATATGTTGTATCAGGAGAGTATCAGTTGGCCAATGATTGTGGCAGGGTGTGCATACCAAGACCAGCCAGGCGGGAGGCCAAGGTGGCTGGGGAGGAGGGCCTTGCTGCGGGGGCTGTGATGGCGGCGGGCAAGCTGGTAGGGGGCGCGTTCGGCATGTTGCTGACCACCGCTGGGGAACCTGGGCCGAGGTCTATGAGGTTGTCCTCCGTAGCCTCACTCAGGACCTGTTGAAAAAGAAAAGATGAGATGCTCTGTAGCTCTCGCTTCATTTAGAGACTGAGAGAAGATTTTTAGGGTTTCTGGCTCATGAGCAGCAAAACAAATCCTTGTATGGGTGGTTAAGGAAAGGCGGGGTTATAACAGTATATAGTTCCTTGATTGTGTCTGGAAAATATGGAAAAAAATATGGAAA